TTTATTAAAACTATGATAATCATCATCAAAATAATTGATTGGAAATCCAAAAATTGCACGTGTTAAATTTAGTTTTGTTGGTCTGGTTAATATATTTTTGTAGAATTTTGTTTTATTAGCTTGCAATTCTATTTCATTTTCTATGATGCTTCGAGTATGTGCTTCTTTAAAGTGAATGAAACTAGAAAATGAAGTAATATATAAAATTAACAAGCATACTGAAAAAAAAAATGGCAACATGCTATAAGACTATTGTAACATGACAAAATACTAAGTTATGGCGCAACAGTTGCCTTTTCCAGCTGTAGGATGGAAGCATTATTTAAATGAATTCTTTCAGTGGAAATTTCTGGCGTTCTTTTAGTACCTCTGAATACATATGTGAAGCTAGTATAAATCTGTATGCATTCGCTATACTTCATATATTTTTCTATGATGGCACATTGAATATGAAAGAATTAGATGATTATTATTTTTCTCTCTCTCTCTAAAACACACCTCAGCAAGGTTTAGTTTCTAGACTGATCTGACTATTGGAAGTAATTGTTCGAATTGGACTGAAAATTGTGAAGTTTGTGTTATATCAATATTAATAGTAATCTCCACTTGCCTTTAGAAAAATGTCTTAGACTTTCTATATGTGGACGATGATGGAATGGCCAATTTTTAGTTATTGGGACAAATTTTCAAAGGACATGGTTTATGCTGAAATCTACAGCAAGGCAGTGGATCACTACTTTCATCTCTTCCCGTTATGGCAAGCAGTGTCCATGGGTGGATCAAGAGACAATATATGGGCTTCTTTTGGTGGTTTTTTCTAGAAGGAATAGCAATGTGTGGATTGTTGAGTTTGAGGATACAATTCTTGCTTTATTAGAAAGTAGAAACCAATTGATTCTTTAGGTGGATGTTGTGATACTTGTTTAGTATGTTTTAAATTTATAAAGTTAGTTGCAATAGGTAACTTATTATGATATTTTTTTTTATATTTTCCCTATTTTTTTTCTCATTATAAACCTTTATATGATGGACCCAAATTTTGGCAATAAACGATATGGAGTATTCCACTTTTTTCCTCTTTATTTTTCCTCAAACTATTTTTTAATTTTCTCAATGCTATTTAATTTGAATGAGATATGTCATATTTGAAGCTTCAAATTCAATCTTAAGAAGAACAAAAATAGACCCTATAACATATATGCTCTTATTACATTAATGTTGCACTGTCAATTTTGTGGGTAAGTATATGGTATTTGGCATTATATAATAAATGCAATTAAAAAAAATGGATTGTTGCAAACGCCATGAATTTGGGTTCTTCTCAATCGTGGGTTTTCTGCCTATGAAATGTAATAATGATGCTTATATTTAGATTTGCCTTGTTTTTTTTTTCTTAAATTAAATAGGTTGATTGCATGGTTTTGGTACAAATGCGACTTTTTTCAACTAGTGTGAACGATGATTGTTATTATCTATGGATTTAGAAAATTTAAACTATAAGGATGTTAGCTTGGTTGATTCCGAAATTTAAATTAAATTGGGAATTTATTTTCGAATAAATTTAAATTTAGAGTAAGATTGATCCCATGACAAATTTATTTATTAATTTAGATTATGAGGAAGCTATAAATAATGGTATAAGACATGTAATTTGCAGCCTTTTGCCATAGTAAAAATTTGGTTTTTATTTTCAGTGTTGTGAGTGCAACTTGATGCATTATTCCTTCAAGTGCAGTACAAGTGCAATTACCTAATTGTCCAGGAAATCATCTAGTTATGCTAGCATAAGACAATTATTTCTTATTTATGTTGTTTGTTTGTTTTTTTACATAATTTGTTATTGTTAGTTTAGCGTTCTTAATTAAAATGTGACAAAAAATTGATTCAAAGAAAATTAATTCGTTTGCTTGCTTTTTTTTTTTTTTTTCAAAATTTCTGTTAAAATTTTTAGATATTTGCAATAATTTTATTATCAATTAGGATTAAAGCTTATTATTGCATATTTTCATTGAAAGAAAGTGTTTGGCATAATTGATCTGTGAAATGCGTGAATCCTCTACTTTTCTTTTACTTCTAAGCATAGTACACATCCTTTTAATTGTCTCAGAAAATTTAATCTTCAGTCAACTTGGTTAAAATTTGTTTCATCACTTATGTTTGCATCATGTCAATTAAATGTAGGACATATTAATTGTGTCAATACTAAATTAAAAAATAATTAGACTCTGATAGAATCGAGTAAGTTATGAACATTGATGGTCATAATATAATTTTCATGAGGTTCAAAATAATATTTCTTCATTTGATGGGAGATGCGATCTTAAAAAATTTTCCAGGATGGGTTAATAATTTGCTGCTCTTTAAAAGTTATAATTTTACCTGATTCTGAAAATTTGATATTGCTGAAAGAACTTAGATTGGACATGTTAAATTATAGTGTTTCCAGTGAAATATTAAATAATATTCTTGCAAAATAAGCTCAAAGTGAAGTATTTGTATTTGCTAAATATCAGGATGAATTGATAATTATTGTTTGAGTTTTAAACAATTTGATTTAAGCATGTTTAAATATTATTGTAAGTTTTACACGTCTTATGGCGACATGCTTTGCCTTTGGGTTATTTTGTTACTACTACTTGCTTCATTAATGTTCTTAGGTTAGAGATTAAAAATGAATTAAGCTATAATTCACCAAAATTCTTATATGAAGTTTTATCTTGATCTTTATATATCAAGGCATGTTTTGAACATTCTTATAGGTTGGTTGAACCTGTGGGGAAGCGTAGGAAAACTCATTAACAGCTAATTAAAGCCTGTGAAACATTCCCTAATTCATTTTATGAATGCTTGAAGTTGATTCAAATGAAGAAATTGTTTTTTTATGAATTTTCATTTGAAGATGTATTAGATGTAGTGTATAATTTGTAATTACAATATGACTGCGTATTTGATGTTGTTGATTTTGAATATACACCTACAGTAACTATATTCATGAAGTTGTAGTTATAATTGGTCAAAATTATAAATCGAGTTTGAGGATAAAATTGAGAATTAAGTTCATATTTACACTTGAAAATTTTTAATGAAAATCATACCTTTATTTGAATGTGAGGATGAACCAATAAAATTTAATGTCGGTAATGTATCAAATAAGCAATTTGAAAATTTAGTATTGGATGAATTCTCTATTGATACTGTTCCTATGAAAGATGCGAAGACTTGTGTTGGTGATTTTATTTTGGTGCCTTGGTTTCTTGATATCCATATTTATAGAAATAAAAACGAAAATTCTTGTGGTGGCATCACATCAAACATTAATTTGTATATAGTTTAATCAAATTTTTCAGTGGGCGGCTTCTCTCAATTGTTCATTTTTATTTTTTGTTATTGAGCATGTTGATGATGGTGTTTGTGCTGTAAAGGTCCGGAAAGGTATTTCTTAGCTTTATGTGAGTTTTCTTTTCTTTTTCGATTGCCATCATTTAAGTCTTGATTTACTTTGTGTTTTTTTCATCAAAATGTTGTGTGGAATGCTCAATTAATTGGTGTTGAATTTTTTCAAGCTGGAGGATTGATGTAGTGTTGACACTAAATAGGACGCAATGGAGAAAAAGGATTCATGTAGCCGACCCCACGTAGTGGGATTAAGGCTTTGTTGTTGTTGTTGTTGTTGTTGTTGTTGGAGGATTGATGTAGTGTCTGCTACAAGGTGAGCTTTGGTCTTTGGCACTACTGAGTAAATAAGTAAAAAAGAAGAAGAAGAAGAAAGTGGCTATTATGGAGGCATGACTTTGGGAGCTTAGGCGATCTTGCTTTGGACTTAATAGGCATCCTTAGTTGGATGGGTGAGTGATCTGTAGATGTTGCTAATCCCTAGAATTTAAAATTTTAATCTAGAAGGTTGCAGGCTCAGTTCTTCACAGGATTTAAGTAAAACTGAGAATTCTTTAGGGAATTGATTTAGATTATGAGTCTATAAGAGTAGTGATATGATAAATGTAATACACATGTCTGGCTTGAATAAAAATTTTATTTTCATTTTTAATCTTTTGATTGTAAGTTGGATGCATATTTTTTTCGAGCTTGGTACATTTTAGATTATTTGTTTTTTAGGATAGTTTTCTTGTGCTATTCTGAGGCCTAGTTTTTCTATACTTTATTCATTATGTTTCCTGTTTAGTTTTTCAGCATAATTTGTCATTGGCTGGTGTAATGTTTTTTATTTTGATCAACTAGTGATGCATCTGAAATATTTAGTGAAAATTAGTTTGTTTATTCATTGATTTTGTTTATCTTTAAATTCTGTTTCAAATTCTCAGATATATGTGATTATTTAAGTTTCAACTGGGCTTAAAATTATTTTTTCATGCTTTCATTAAAGGAAAACAAGTTGTTGGTATTATTGGTAATTTTGATTTGTGAATCCCTACTTTCCTTTTCTTGAAAGTATACTTTGCATAATAGTAGTTATATGAGGAAACCTTTGTCTTGCATGATTTAGTAAGGCACTTTTTTAGTGATGATATTCTTTTCTCAAGGCTTTCTACATGGAACAAGTCATATTATAAACTTAGCTCATTATTGATCTGAAGCTTACTTGCTTAACTTTTCTCTTTTTATTCCACTACCTCATAGCATAACGGGAAATGTGTTAATTTTCTTATATATAATCGAAACATAGTTATGCTCTCTTAAACCAGGTATTTTTTATTTTGTTATTTTTTTATTTATAATTTAAGAGTCCCTTGTTATGATATAGTATCATTCTTTAACAGATTGAAATTCTTACGATGACTTGATGATCTAAGTAATATTTTTAAGCATGCTATTTTATTCTACTCTAGTTAATGATCTTAGCATAGATCCCTATTTTCTCTTGCATTATCTTCTTGCCTCTGGTTTCGATTAATTCACTATATGTTATTTTTTTGTTTGTGGATATATTATTACCATCAATTTTACTTTTTATTTGACATTTCTTTGATTTTTTGCTGTCTCAGATTGAGTCTTTGGCACTGACATTTCATGGTCATGATCTTATAATTGATTCTGAACTAGAGCTTAACTATGGCAGGTAAGCTTTTCTATACAGCTGGTTTTTAAATGATGAACCGATTCGAGTAATAATAGAGCTATGGCACATTGGAATCCTAATTAACAAAACGTTGAATTACATCATACCATTATATAGTGGTGTTTATTCGTAGTTTTCGTGCCTGTTGTTTTTATTACAAAAAAGTACTGTTTTCAATGTATTGCTATTCACAAAATGCGGAAAAATATTTACTCTTACAGGCGATATGGTTTGCTTGGCTTGAATGGATGTGGGAAGTCTACACTGCTTACAGCAATAGGGCTTAGAGAGCTCCCAATTCCTGAGCATCTGGATATTTATCACCTCACTAGGGAGATTGAAGCTTCAGATATGTCTGCACTTGAAGCTGTTATCAGCTGTGATGAGGAAAAGATTAAATTGGAGAAGGAGGCTGAAAGATTAGCAGCTGAGGTTGTTTGCCCTACTTCAAATCATTTCAAAGCTTTGCTTATTATAATTTATGCGGAAGTTAACTTGAGTTTGTTTTGTTAATGCATTGTGGATTTCTAATAATGCTAGGATGGTGGTGGTGGAGAGGCTCTCGACCGAATTTATGAACGACTGGAGGCAATGGATGCATCAACTGCTGAAAAACGTGCGGCTGAAATTCTATTTGGGTTGGGTTTCAATAAGCAGATGCAAGCAAAGAAGACAAAGGACTTCTCTGGTGGCTGGCGTATGAGGATTGCATTAGCTCGAGCCTTATTTATGAACCCAACTATTCTCCTACTTGATGAACCTACAAATCATCTCGGTGAACTTTACAAACTTAATTATTTAATCTTCTACTTTCTGATCTGTTCAGAGGGCATTGCTTTGTTACTTGTCTTTCTAGGGGAAAGTTTGCTGTTCTGTTGTCATCTCGTCCTTTTATTTGTGCTCAGGATGAACTCTTTCATGAATTTAATTTTTTGCTCTCAAAGTTTTTTTTTTTTTTTTTCTAAACAATTTTAGAACAAAACTACAGATAATTTGCCAATAATTATTCTCCTCTTTCCTCAAGCAAATGTATGTTATTATCATTAGATTTGGTCAATTATGATGTCTCAAAAAAGGGATGCAATTACATTACACAAACAAATCACAATTCTCGAGTAAGATTTTTATAAAATACAGTAGTCTTGTGCTCCATGGTCTTTCTCTACCAAATGTATAGATGCAATTCTTGACTATCATCAATTTCTCATTCATACTAAATTTTCCATGCTCTTTGCCTGAAAATCAGTTTCAATATAAATTTGTCAGGCTTGGTGTACTGAAATTGTAATGGCTGTATACAATTGTCTACGAACCACTTGTATCTTTGCTAGTCCACTTGAAATGTTTGATTCATATTTAAGTTCCCGTATCTCAACAAATGAAGGCCTGAACCTTTAAGCCTATAATCACCTCAATCTACTCAGGGCATATGGGTGAGTAGATCGTGGTCTCTAATCAAACTCTTTGGAACATACGGTCACTCATTTATGTGTGCTTTTAGAAATCATGGTATTCATTTGTGTCATTCTTAGATGCAAATTACTAGTGCAGCCCAGGGCAATGGAGTCACGAAACATTCATTGATTTTATCATCCATCCCCATGCTTACTCTAGTCTTGAAATAGAAACCTTAATTGTAAACCACTGATATAGAGTGTATCCACATCCTAAATTGAGTGTTCTCGAGCATTGCATATGAGATGTAATTAATCATCGGAGCTTGCATTCATGAAAAACTTCAATTGTGACAAATCATAAATCCAAATCATAAATCCTACATAGTTCGAAATGCTATTCAGGGGAATTCCTTGAGAAAGTAAATTAATTTTTCTTTGAAAAATCCATGCTCTTTTCATCACATTTCTCTAAATTTTAAAAGATTTTGAAAAAAAGGATCATCGGAGTAATTAATCATCGGAGCTTACAAGTGCTTTGAGAATCCATAGTATTCAAGACTTTGCATCAAATTATTAACTTTGCACTAATTTGAATATGGATATATGGACACAATATTACACGGGCATTAGACATTCCAGTTTTTGAAAATATTTGATACAAACATTCCTTTGACATGACATTATAATTAGCAAAAATTTAAACATTAAATGTAATGTGGAATATTTGGACATGTTAAATAAACATGAACTGAGTCAACAAAGTCTAACATTATGAGGTTGAAAAAAATAATTATATTTAAGGATGCAGTATAGGTGAATAAATATTCTCATACCTCTCAAAAATCATATGGTATTGATCAAGGAAAGAGTTAAAATTTAGTACATTCTAATTTATATAAAAATAATCGAATATAACTTATTTTTGTTTAATTTATTTTTTAAATTATATATTTAGTTATTTTTTGTAAAATTTGAATTTAGGCATTCATATTTGAATAAAAATTTGCAAAATTTGAAGAAAAAATAAAAAAACGTATTTATTTTTTTAATCAGACCTCCTAAGTATGTCTGACATGTATGGATTGCATGTGATACTTTTGTTGATATTCGGCGCATATCGAACATTGCATGCCCTTTCATGATTGAATGTATTTATTTGGGATCAACTTTGCAGATTCAGTGTGACTTTGGTGGTCAACAAGAGTTAGTCTTATCTGAACTATTGGAGCTCAGCTTTTATGTCCATTTATTCTGATTGAATGCTTCTTGACATTTTAACTCTGGCTTACATGTTTGCACAGCCTCAAGCAATGACTTTAATTTATCACTTACTATTCATTACTTTCATTAATCTTTGTGTCTCGTACTTATTCTTGCATATTTTACCCTTTATCGGGCTTGCATTAACTTGTAATTATAATTTATACTATCCTAGCTTTATAATATGTGCAACTCTCATCATCTCAAATATCATCATTTTTCACTATTTTCTTTTGTAGTTTTAAGCAACTTTTTTTTTGGCATGGCATTTACATATCTACCATACCCAACTTTGTTGTTAATGACTTATTTGTTATCTATTTTTTATCCATGATTCACATAACATGATTAATCTATGTGCAATTCATACATTCTGGCTTTAAAGTTTTTTTTTTTTTAATTTATAGCACTTTTGAGGTTGTTCATCTTAAAAAAGCTGTCTTTAGTTATTACTACCAAATAAAATTTATGCCTCCGGGTGACCTACTTCTAATATTTTTTGGGAGACCAAGCATTTGTAAGATTTATAATCAATTTATTCATCCCACAGAATTTACTTACTTTTTCCTTTATAACTAATTTCTGTGTTTTGTTTAAAATATTATTTTGATTCACAAAGCTTACGTTTTATTTGGTTATTTCTTCTCCCCATCAGATCTGGAGGCGTGCGTCTGGTTGGAGGAGACACTAAAAAACTTTGAGCGCATCCTAGTTGTGGTGTCACACTCTCAGGATTTTCTCAATGGAGTTTGTACCAATATCATCCACATGCAGAGCAAGAAACTGAAGATGTACACCGGCAACTACGACCAGTACATTCAAACCCGTTCCGAGCTTGAGGAGAATCAGATGAAACAATACAGGTGGGAACAAGATCAGATATCTGCGATGAAGGAGTACATCGCACGCTTCGGACATGGTTCTGCCAAGCTTGCCCGTCAAGCCCAAAGCAAGGAGAAAACATTGGCGAAGATGGAGCGCGGGGGACTGACAGAGAAAGTTGTGAAGGACAGGGTCCTCATATTTCACTTCACTGATGTAGGGAAGCTTCCACCGCCCGTCCTTCAGTTTGTGGAGGTCTCATTTGGGTACACTCCTGACAATCTCATATACAAAAACATAGATTTCGGTGTCGATCTCGACTCCAGGATCGCGCTGGTGGGACCAAATGGTGCCGGTAAGAGCACGCTGCTTAAACTGATGACGGGCGATCTGATTCCGCTGGATGGAATGGTTCGCCGTCACAACCATCTGAGGATCGCCCAGTTTCATCAGCACTTAGCGGAGAAGCTTGATTTAGAGATGTCGGCTCTCCTGTTTATGATGAGGGAATACCCTGGTAACGAAGAAGAGAAAATGAGGGCAGCAGTTGGTCGATTTGGTCTGACCGGAAAGGCCCAGGTGATGCCTATGAAAAACTTGTCCGACGGCCAGAGGAGCAGGGTGATCTTTGCCTGGCTGGCTTGGAGACAGCCGCACATGTTGCTGCTTGATGAACCAACCAACCATCTTGACATTGAGACGATTGATTCACTGGCGGAGGCTTTGAATTCGTGGGATGGAGGAATGGTTCTTGTGAGTCATGACTTCAGGTTGATCAATCAGGTGGCTGAGGAGATATGGGTCTGCGAAAACCAGACGGTGAGCCGGTGGGAGGGGGACATTATTGATTTTAAAAATCATCTGAAGAGCAAGGCTGGGTTGGGCGAGTAATTTGGAAGAGTAAAAGGGCTGGAATGGCATTTTCAGGTAATGGCGTTTTATCTTAATCATACTTGTATTTTGTGCTACTGTTTACTACAATCTTCGTCCATCGGATTTTGCTTGGTATCATGGACTTGTAGGGCCTGGCTGAGCTTTATCTTCCGATGGCGTGACTAGATTTTTGTATTCTTTATATCCTAGTATTTATTATGGAAAACATGATTACTGATATCAAGTAGAATCTTTCTCTCAATTAATGAGCTTTTGTTTTTGTTGGTAATTATGGTTTGTTTGTATGAAGTGACTGATTAACTTCTATGGCTCGCTTGATTGTTCACCCATTGAAGATGATTGTGTTTATTTTCTTTGGTAATGTCAATTCATGAATTTTGAAGTCTCCCAAACTGAGAAAATATTGCGTCCCGAAAATGTAAGGTAACACCATTGAAATTAAATAGCTTTAAAAATTATAAAACAAAAGTTCTGCTCTCATTTTTTTCCTTCGTATTGTTTAAAAACCAAGAAGTCATTTGATTCGGGTGAAAATCAATCATGATGGTTTAAAACAAGAATCCTATGCTTGGTTTGTAGAGGAGTTGCAGGGTATTCTTGTTGGGCGCCATATTGTAGTTGTTTGGGTCGAAGGGATGGCAGCCGTGGCTTCTTGAAGTTAAATCTTTATATATCTACACACGTGTGTGCACACATACATGGAATGAAATAAATATGTATATAATATATATTCTACCATGTAATCTTAAAAATTTCTATGCAAATCATTCTGGCTCGAAGAGTTTCATATAATATGCAAACAACAATTTATAAACTGTTTATTTTAGATAAACTAACTGTTTCTAAAATACCAGCTTCTGAAAAACAGATTTTTAACAGGAACTTTTGAACTGAGATTTTGTACAACCACAGTCAAAATATACACACCCTAAGTAGCTTTTCATCAAGAGTAATTATCTTGGAAGGAAAAAGAAAACAATCAAATAATCAAAGCAGCTAGACTAAAAGAGGAAGCACATGAAGCGATTAGATCAACCCAACTTGAAGTTTCAAATATTGACAAGTATCATAAATTAAACGGCATGACAAAGTAAAATGAACTAAAGAGTACCAAAGGCATGTTCTAAGTTGTAACATGCTAGTTAAAAAAGTCGAGCGTTCTAAGGACGATTGGGTGAATAGTAGAGAGTTTAAAGACTTCATGAGTCCTGCATCTCAGCAATTATTACTTGCCCGCACATTGAATCTTATTAGGACATAAGATCACATAGTATTTTTGGATGCGTACAACCCGATAAAAACCCACTATGATAAAAAAGATGACATAAGAGATGGATGAAATTTCTCCAAAGGAACTTGGAGCAATCCGTGTATGATTGGTAGCTTGAGGAACAAGTTCCTACCAAATTTGTTCGAGTTCTATGCTTTTGGAGAAAGGTCTACCATATTTTTGAGAACTAGCGAAAAAACTCCTTAGAGGAGCTTCCTTCCCGCCTTTTATACATGAAGGACCAACATAATAAAATAATTGATGTCATGTCATCCGCCCTCCTCACTAGTGCTATTTGCTAATAGTTTTAATGTGGATGAGATTCATAACAATCGTAACTGTCGAGCTAGCTGTGAGACATGATCGGTACAACCATAGACTCTTGTATCTTTAATTGATTCTAAATGCCTAGCAACATCCTTCATTAAGGAAGGATGTCAGATATGGTCAGTAGGACCAATGTCTCTGGAACCTTCAAAAGGCTTATATTCTAATATCTGACGACATCCTTATGAAGGATTAGTAGGTGTCTCAATCAATTACTCTGTTTTTTTCAAATAATTGATTGAATTTGTGGATGTCACTTTACTTCAGCCCCCTAACTGACGAACCAAGTTTACCTACTTCAACAGGTTTGGCCAGATATGGGAGGGCTATTCAACTAATAAAAAAGTTAATTTTTAAATATTAAAATTGTATTATATTATATCATCAATCAAATCCAACCCACCAAAAGTCCATGTAAATTTTCAATTTGGCACCAATCCTACCTCTGATTTTCAATTTAAACAACATTAAGGGTCTATTTGGGGCGGCTGCAACTTATCAATATTGTGTCAAAGATGCCCAAGGAAGTTGTTGCGAATAAACTGTCTGATTGTTTGTTTTTGCCGTTTGAAACAGTAGTGCAATAGTTATTTCTGGACAAATGTTAATTCTGCTCCTCTGTAGTATTGTTGTTTGTAACAAAACTGCATAACAATATATTTAATACTTGAGAAATAAAAATCCACTTCAGAACATTATAAAAAATAAGGTATATAATTCACTTAACAGTAAATACCAAGATAGCTAAAAAAAAAATTATTAAAATTACATTTAATAATATGATGATGTTATTCTTAAAATGCAAATTCAACACACGCACAACACAACAACATCAACCATAAAATCTATTCTTCTTCTCAAATCTACTTGGAATAGGGGCAAACTGTTCCATAGGCTTGACAAAATGTTTATTAATGCTCATTTGATATAACATACCACACTTACCAAATTCATTATTTGTCACAAAAATTAAAATTGAAGCATCCAAAGCCGAATTTATTAAAGCTCGAGCCACTCTCAACCCTATGGACAACTCATCCTCAACCCCTATAGCCACATCAACATAACCACCATCACCCCCATCATCACCAAGACCACCAACTCCATCACCACCAACCCCAACCCCTCCGGCCACATCGACATAACCATACCAACACAACCTACATTATCACCACATCAGCACCACCACCATTATGTGCCGCTTCTCAAAATTTCCAAGAAATATCAAATTCTCACACAAAACCATAAAAAAACCCAACATAAACATAAAAAAAATCGAAGCATCAACAGCCCTCAAGCGGTTGAGGGCAGAAACGAGAAACCAAATTCTCAAAAAATAGGTTGGGGGATACCAGAGGAAGAAGGCATCCAGAACTAGAGGTTAGGACAGTGGAAATGAGAGCTCCGCGGGGAAGGTTAGGGTAAATGACAAACGTGAAGGCTAGATTGGGGCATAAAGAGAAGAAATGCAGGTCACGGGTGGCCCATGTTTTATTAAAATCACGCAGCACTGCGAGCTAAAAGCCCCAAAACTCCTCTTCAGTGAAGCGGAGCCGCGGGCATAACACCCTCCCAAACGCACCCTAGCAATTTATAATTTTACACTGTGGGACTAAAAGGTATACCGGCACACAACATTCCATGGTAAAGCATTAGATTAAAAGCATTTACATACATATCACTAAATTTCTATGTATCTACATATCTCACAACTAAATTATCTTTTTTACATTTATACCACCCAAAATCATTCATATCACATAAAAATATCACTATCTTAATTTTTAAAAATAAAATACACTTTTTATGTATATGTAAGTGACATGTATGGCTTCTTCAGATAGTTGAATTTGTTGATCTTACACTATTTTAATTTTTAAAAAATAAAATAGACTTTTTTTTTGGTAGCATGCGCATTCTAACAAATTCATAAAACTAATATATTGGGTTTAAAAAATATTAAATAATTTTCATGTTATAGTATCAAATGAAATGTTTATGCTATTAATAATACATGTTAATATCAATTTTTGGTTAAAAATTAAAAGAAAAGTAAAATCGTAACCCCCAGCTCTTAGAACATAGGGCTCGCTTAACTCGCCCTTGCTTTGGCTTGCTACTACGCTTCCGTCCGATGCTCCACTTGGCCTCGCCCACCTCTCTAGCACACCTACTTAGGACTCACTTTGCTTGGCCTTACGCTACCTCACTTTGACGTTCCGCTCAACCTCTCTAGGATGCCCAGACGATGAATTCTTTCGTTTTTTCCCTATAAACTTATAATGATTTATCTTTGATTACTTTTTACCTATAAATGATTTTAATTTGATTACTTATTACATTGACATACCAAATTTTTTGTCATTTTAAACTTCTTGAGAAGTTTATAAAGTGTAATGACATTAATAATATAATCACTTGTAGATCAACAATGAATAGATTAATGCTATTCTCAAATTTATAACGCTTGATAAAAGATTAGTATTGAAAATAACAAGATGAGAGTATAGCTATTGAATAATTTGAATACTCAAATAGCATTATTTAAATTTTTTAGAGCTCCAAATGCAATGATAACATGACTCATAGCTCATAATAAATTTTTTTTTTTATCAAATATTAAAAGCAAAAGGGCAATAAAAATATATTAAAATTATTGTATGCAAAGATTCATGAAGGTAGAGTGACAATTTAATGTCTCAGCATTGCACAAAGATCAAACATACACATAGATGTTAGAAAAATACCAAGAAGAGACTCCAAGTTTTCTAGCTCGATACAAATAGTACACTATATAATTGTGGGTACATATGTTCACTTTTCTCCTAAATCAAAGATCTTGAAATTACAAAACTAATAATCACATATGTAAAATTGTAGTTTGGCTATAGTAATCATGTATAACTGGGCTACGAAAAAATATAGTTATTGACTGTATTAACAATACTTGGCCATAAAAGCTTGTTGGTTGCTATAAATGCATGTTGACCTCTATATTTGCTCCATCCACAACATTTATTATCTTACTTGATTTCTTGTGGGTAAAGTTCATTTTTTGCACGAATTTTCGTCCACTTAAATTCTTTTCGTCAGGGCATTATTTTACAAAATAGAATTCGTGAGCATGTTTGAATCGTCGAGACAGTTCAAATGAGTCTATTCGGGTATCATTTGATGTCGGTCGAGGGATTAAATATTCATATTATTTAAATATTATATAAATATAAATATATTTTTATATATTTATATATTAACGTTAATATGTGCTTATATATTTGCACAATAATAATATATATTAATTAAATTTTAAATTCAAATATTTCCTCCATAAATTTTGAGCATTGTTGTGATTCAATTTATTATTCATTTCCTAAATAAGCTCCAAAGTATTAGGAATGAATTAAAACAACAAGAAAGAGAAAAAAATATAATTCCCTCCTATCTCCCATTTTCTCGAGCGCTATTTACGTACGTCATACGAACACAATTATTAAGAGGTTATTGGGGGTATTAACTCCAATAACATCTCAATAACCTTCCAATAACCTACAAATATATTTCGCGGTTCGGTGCTGATCTTTTTTTCCGTCATTCGAGGGTTTCGTGAGGTTATTGAGAATATTAACCTCAATAACAACGATATAACCCTGCAATACCCTCCAAATAACCTTCATACGCACGCAATTCTGCGTGTCTATGACGTACATAAATATTTTTTCATTTTCTCTCTCCCTCTCTCTCTCTCGGATTGGATTGCATAAAGCATAGATTAACATCCGAACTTCAATAACATTACTACAGGTTTCATTCACCTGAACCCACACTTCAACCGATGAATAAATATGATATTTACGCTCTAGGGTTTTCTTTTTCATAGTTATCATCTCGGGTTTCAAATAGAAAATGTTAGCGACAAACCCTAGACGGAAAACACGAAACGAAAAACCCTAAAGCGTAAATATGATATATGAAAGTGGGGGCAAAAGTTTTTAAATAGATCACTTTTTCTATCTGAAGCATCCGTACGTAATATGGAGTCCGGACTTTAATTACTCTGAACGTAATATTTTCTCCGTGATATGCCATTATTCCTAACATTCTCATGCAATAAGCAGATGAGTCTATGATCAGAACATTTGCATAACACTCAAATAGCAGGATTTTTACGATTGAAGATTTACATGAATACCGCTCAATTCTTATGTATTTACATATCAAACACATAAATCTCAATTTTTACATTTATAACACCTTAACTATGCATAACAAAAGTATGTTTCACATCTTAAAAGCTTAAATTTTGATATTTTTTATGTGATTCCAAATATTTGGATGCTAAAGATGTAAATACATAAAAATTGAATAGAATGTATGTCAATGCCCCAAATATAATTAGTTTCAAACTTCATTACCACTTTTCATGAGCATAGTAAATAAGAAGAAAATATTAAATCTGATTTTGTCGACGACGGCGTAGATCTAGACTTACTGTCGAACGCACTTCGTGTTTCAATCCAAATCATCGTCCGCACATCAGTGAGAGCTCTCTCCAAGTGCAAGTGTCAATCTAATATCACTGTAAAATTGCTGTCGAATACAAAAGAGACTCGGGCGCTCTCATTTTAAATCAAGTTTCGTGAAATATAAGATTACAATGCATCATAAATAACTGCTGATGGTTTGGTATAGATTCTACAACAGAAGGAAGCGTTTACACCACATAAATACTCTCTGTTTCTATATAATGCACATAAATCATTCTTACTAGCTTAAACATGGCGACCTAACATCTCCAACCTCTACACCGCGGCGAAAAAGCTCCAGCAGGCTTCCCGCTTTCCTTTTAGCTCGATCCGTACCAGTCTCTGCGAGTTCTTTCAACGCTTCTTCTGCACCAACTTCCCTCGCAATTCTCAGTTGCTGCGCATCCACGGTGCACAGTGAATACAACACTGCAGCAGAATTCTCCCTGTTCCGCGGAGAACCGATCCTCATCACCTCTACCAAAATTGGAATCGGTGAAGCTTCTGCAATGGCCAGCCTCCCCTCGTGATGGCTCGCCAATATCGCCATTATGGCAAGGGCCTCATCTAACATCCCTCCGCTCGGATCAGTCAAAAGTCGCAGAAGATGGACGACAATGCCGGCCTTCACCGCTCTCACTTTGTTACCCTGATAAATAGAAAGGTTGAAGATGGCTGTAGCTGCATCTTTCTTGCCCCTCGGGCTTCCATGACACAAGAGATCAATTAGGGCTGGAATGGCTCCGGCAGCCCCGATCGTTATCTTGTTGGCATCTATTACGGATAAGCTGAAAAGTGTAGCAGCGGCGTTTTCTCTCGCTTCCATGCTCCCGTTCTTAAGCACTTCTACTATTTTTGGAATTGCCTGAGCAGCAACAATGCTGCTCTTGTTGCTTTCATTAATGGAGAGGTTCAGGAGTGCAGTTACTGCGTGCTCCTGCGTCCTCGGATCAGGTGATTGGAGGAGTTCCACAAGCAAGGGGATTGCACCTGCTTCGGCAATACATACCCTGTTGTCAGCATTCCTTTTCGCGAGCAATCGAAGCTCGCCGGCAGCCGCTCTTTGTACTTCTTGGTTTGTGCTACGTAGTTTCTCTAGCAGCGCACTGATAGCAGCTCGATCACAGTCGGAATGACTTGCGGACCTTTTGTCACGGCCATTGCCATTCTTTCTTGGAGGTTCAATACCATTAGCCTCACACCACTGCGCTATCAGGCTCTTTAAGACGAAATTTGGGGTGAGAGCCGTGTGGGATAGATTCTGCTGCGTCTTCGGACAGGTTTTGTGTCCTGCATCCAGCCATTTCTGAATGCAAGTTCTCTCATATGTCTGCCAAACAAACGAATATTGTTATAGGCGTTATCGAAGTCCAGAAGAACAACGTTAAGGTTAGTGTAGTGTATTACTTGCCCAGTAGAGACGATGACAGGGTCCCTCATCAGTTCAAGAGATATAGGACAACGAAAATCGTCGGGGATAACAGGTGATCGATATTTCACCGGGCTTCTTTTGTTTTCATGGTTCTCTGGAATCGGGTTCTCAATGATTCCGGAGTCTTTCAGCTTCTTGAGCAAGGTTGACATCTCTTCCAGGCAGTCGTCTGGATCTCCACCACAAGCAATCACCATTTCATTTAAAGCAGCAGCTTCTTTCGTGAGGTCATTAATGGTTCTTAGCTGCAATTTCTCTGAAAGCCTTTGAAGCACAGCTTGATCACTGTAATCTCCACTACGTACCAAAGAGATGTCCTTCAAAAGTTGAGGATCAGGTAAATCCATCTTTTCTTTTGCTCTTTGGAACTGGGCATGCACAAGCTCGATCTGTAGATTATAAGGAACCATCAGAAAATTTAGATTACAGATATCATATATATGAAGTTCAATTCTTTCGAGTAGCCTAAAAAACAAGATCATTTTAAACATTTTGAGATAATTGAAAGGGGGGCCATTATGCGGATGGGACAAACAATAAATGGTGATTGTTTTTGAAAAACGTAATTGAAATGCATTAAGATGATCGATGTTGTCCATTGCGAACATAGACTTCATGATTCCCTAAACCTTTCACCACTTAATGAAGTTTAAATTGGTGTCAAGCTTGCTAGCTTAAATCCTTTTTAATGATTCTATGAGTAAGCATTTCTTCCTATTTCCGACCACATAATAATTTCATGGACATTAAAATCAAGTTTTATCAGCTCTTTTGTACATTTGATGGAACTGATATTTTTTTTAATTAAGTTTTTGAAGAGCAATATTGTTTAATGCAAGACTATACTCATCATACCTTCAACAATTGGACAATTATTAGGATGGGTAAATCCTCTTATATGAGTAGGGGTGTAAACGAGTCGAGTTTGAACAAGCTCAGGCTTATTAGTGCTCATCACTCTCAAATTTTTTTATTTGAAATAAACTCGTGTACAAAATGGCTTATAGCATGTTCGAGTTCAGCTTGGTTCAAATTCATTTGTTTGTTTTAGCTTGAGTTTGACACTATTCAAATTTGTTTATTTGTTTCAACTTGTAACCGGCTCAAAATTATCTCGAATAATTTATGAAATAACAAAATTTAACATTATTTTAAATACCTCATAAAAGGTAAATATAAAAAGGTTAAATTAATGTTATTTATTTAATTATTTAATTAATTTGAGTTAAAATGAGCGGGACATGATCAAACAAAAAATTTATTTTAGTCGACTCGTTTATAAACTATGCTTAAAAAAATTATTTGCGTTTGATTCACTTGTTTAATAAACAAATTGAACATAAGCTAATTTGTGAGCCTAACATGAGTTGTTCTTGAATGAGAAGCTTTTTTGACAGCCCTGGATAAGAAAGAACTTGTGGTAGAGAACATAATGGAGCCTGACATTTTTTTTAAAAAAGGCAGTTTGAGAACAACAGGGAGAGCGCGACAGCCAATGGGTTTCATGGCACTTTTTATAATTTTTGGCTCAAAATCTTAGTGTTCAAACGGGTCCAAAAATCCAAAACGGCCAACAAAAAATCTAAAAACAAGCCAAATATAAGGGTGAGTTAAATTTCTTTCAGGAACATCTGCACATTCATTCTGCCCAGTTCATTCATAGTATCTTCCCATTGTCTTCGGTTAAAAGGTCAAGAATATCATTCTTTAAGTTATCAATAACTTCTGATTCTAATTATACACTATAAGCTTTTGTTTTAAGTAATTTTACATAGAACGGAAATTATCATTCTATTGATCAATTTTTGTAAATACTACTTCAATGGCCTTCCGATATTCATCATTCCAAATCAAGATGCTCAACACTGTTGTCCTTGTAAAAGAGAAGAAACGACCAACTTTGTAGGTGTCCTGTTTGTCTAATTATTTTATGTACAAGATTAATATCTATAACATGAATGAGATCATGATCTAAAGTATTAAAAAAAACCAAACTTTTAAATCAATTAGAGCAGAACATAAGATAGATTAGTTTAATTTAATCCTTAATAATAAGAAAGCAATGAAGTTTTTTTGTTCAATGATTGAAAACTCTTCTTTCCTAGTACCTGCTCTTGCACTTCTTCAGGAATATCAAACTTATCATAAGATAATCTGCTTAAAGCTCTTTCTATTTGTTCTGTGACCTCCTGAAAATGTTTTGCATATTTGTCCCCTTGCAAAGCCTGAGGAAAGATTAGCATACAAAAAAAGTATTAGATGAAAGCAAAAAAAAGTGAGTTTGTATTTCATTAAAAACAAAGCTTTGTCAACATTCTTTAATGGACTTCTTTTTTATTGATACCCAATATTTGAATCGTAACTAACATTATTTTGCAGAAAGCACAACAAGAAGGTGATAACTTGACATACTATTAGCTGTCAGATTAGCACATTAGTTTAGGGTTATTTATATCTTATCTTAAGCAGATAAACATTGGCTAAGTCTGAATTAAGTACAAAACGGTGGCTTGGGATTCCCTCGAGCTTTAAGATTTCACAAATTGAGTAGGTAGAATTCAAGCTGGCTTGATTTGATATCAGCTATGCGTAATTTAGTTTTTTGTTTTTAACCAAATAATATGTCATTTTATGCTCATATGTGATGTGTCTGTTGTGTAATTTAGGCGGAATAAAATTTCGGCAAAGAATTGCCTACGTCCTCGGGAGCGAGCAGCGGTTTCACTATTTCAGAGAAGTTACAATACATCCCATAGGGTTACACATATAAATAGACATATACAAACTCTCAGATAAAATTACAATCACGCCCTCGCTCCCCCCAACCCCCTTTATTCCAAGAGACACTCATTTTCACCAGGAAACACACATCTTCACCAAGAAACTCCAACTCCCTAGATATGAGTCATACCTAACAGTGTCTATATCTGTGTGAGTGCATATGAGGGCGCCGTTAATGCAGATAGCATGTAGGGAAGGGTATATCGTGTGTGTGTGTGTGTGTCCATGCTTGTGTACAAATTTATCAGCATGTGCTTTCTATGCTTTAGAAAATATAAAAATCAATTAAATGTAATCAATATGATTCATTCCACTTTCCATATCAACATAAGATCATCTCATATAGAAATAAAATCCAAAGATATAAATTGACATTTTGGGAACTTGTATTGGGATTTCCTAACAAAAAAAATGCTTAGAATGGATCTCAAAGCCCTTGAATTTGCTTTGAGATGGGAGTAATAAATGAATAATCGATTAAAAATTTACTTTGTACTAATGTTAAAAGTAAAATCAATGAATTTGAAGCCATTTGACAAAAAATTGGATCAAGATATCCAGATCCAATTTTTTTGGGCTAAATTAAATCTTGCATTAGATTAAACACTGCTTGTGTAGCAAGAAACTCTTGATAATTGCATCATCAAGTAAAACTCTGTATGCTCATAATGAGTGGCTAGAATTAGAATGTAAAAAATTTTACATTCTATGATCAAACTAACAACTAAAATGTTTTATCTAATTAGTTAATTTAAGAAAAGATAAAAACCCCTAAACTATTTATATTGGACTATTTTAATCCCATCTATATAATGCGTTCTATTTGGTTCCTTACTCATCACATATAATCCAAAATACTCTATCTATTGAATTATTTTAGAACAAATTTGAGGAATCAAAAGATAATAGTGAAGCAAAATTGATAAGTCAAAAGAAATAAAGTTAAAACACACTAGATAGTCTGGGACTAAAACCCCACCCTTCTCGAAAATGGTAGAAGGAATATTTTAACCTTTTTCTCATAATTTATTAGTCAAACTTGCAGCTGTGTTTTGTGAAATTTGAAGACTCCAACCAAGTTTGAATCATGTATGAGACTTGCAACAGGGGACAATACATTTGTACTCAGCAACTCGTTGATCTCGGTTTGTTGGATAGGGTTGATCAAACCAGAATATCTATTGGTACTTTATTGGTCCAATATAACCGTTTTTGGTCATACAAATAGGGCGATCATCTTCCTTGATTCGAGAAAGAAAAAATCACTATGAATATCAGTATACATGCTAACAATCTTTGTAAATTTTGCAAAGTATCATTTAAAACACATTGCTTAATAGTTAAAGCTCCCTCCTTTCTAACAGATTTCTATTTAAATTCTTCCAACATGTCTGAAACAAGAGTATGATGATCTAAACACCCCCTCCTACGAAAGACATGCCAAAACTTTTAGATCAATTTACTCTTTCAGTAACCATCATACACAACTTTCTCCCAGTTACCTACCAATTGACTTCTACCAAAACCATCAGTTTACAGAATACTGAATAAATGAAAGTGAGCTTTTGATTCTTCTACAAGTAACTATCGCATAGATATAGTTTTGCCTCAAACCAAAACAAAATTTTTTTAGATAATTATTACATACAACTGAAAAACAGAAGGCCCATGAAATCCAAAGATCTGTTAAACCAAACAAGGAAACTCATACCTGATAGAGCTTGCTCCCATCGTTGACGGAGCGCAGAAGCTCCTTAGCAGCAACCAAGGCATCGAGCAACTCGCAGAGGGATTGGGACTCGTTCTCCTTAATCAATTCCTCATCGCTGCTATCCCTGAGCTCGTCGAAGAACGGGCTCAGGAGCTTCATCCGCCTCGCCAGATCGTAGTAAGCCCTACGAAATGGTCCCCTGCACTCCTGCATCGCAGATATTTCTCCCACCACAGCCGAAAGCGCCCGGACAACAATTAAACCCCTTTCTTCCAGCTCCTCCTCTGCTGTAGACTCCATTCCCGCACAGATCAGAGAGGAGTAAGATCGGCGCGAGGATAGGATGGAAGAGCAGGATTGCGAGAGAATTAGGAAGTCAGAGGAAGATTGGATCTTTCGAGAGGAGAAGGCAAGGACGGAGAAAGAGAACGGAGAAGTAAAGGCTTCAGGAAAGTCAAAAATTACACAACTGGTCTCACACTCCTAGGGCTGTCAAAAAAGCTCGTTGTTCGCGAACAGTTCGTGTTCGGTTCGTCAATGAGTTCGTGTTCGATTCGTTCGATAAGTAAATGAGACAAACGCGAACAAATTTTTTTCGTTCGGTTAGTTAAACGAACCAAACACGAACAGTGATGCGTTCGTTCGTGTTCGAATCGTTATTGTTTGAAATATAAAATAATATAAAATAATTATATATAAAAAATTTATTATATTTTAAAACATTAAATTTTATAAATTATAATATATAATAAAATAATAATAATAATATATTAATATACTATAGTAGTAATATACTAATATAGATATTGTATATTTATATAATATAAGTTATATAATTAATATATAATATTATTTTCGTGTTCGGCTCGTTCGTTAAGAAACGAACACGAGCTTATTTCAAACAAACTAAATTTTAAACGAACCGAACACGAACACAAGCTTTGTTCGTTCGTGTTCGGTTCGTTTACACCCCTACACACTCCAACTCAAATTTATGTGGATTAGTAAATTTTTTTCGTGTAAATCGTAATTTTCTGTTCTCAGTTCTCACGCTCCCAAGTTTTATTTTTTTATTAACAGAGCGTACTTGAAATGTTTCCGGATTATGGTGCTGCATAAAAATTAAAAATTTAATTAGTAATTTAATATAACAATAACTTACAGAGTAAATTTTATGAGTTTAAGGGTGCGTTCGAGGGCAACTTATATTTATCTAGATAAGTAGCTTATCCTGAAACATAGTCGGGTTCGACCCTCGGCATGCGTTTAGTGTAAAAACCCAACCACTTTTTATGATAAGCTGTCGAAACGTGCTTTTCAAATGATGAGACGGTATTTTCCTCACTTATAAGCTGTCCCGAAGAGGCCCTACGATCTTAACAATTTTACACAAATATTTGCACATATACCCTTTGTAATAATGATTTGTGTTTCATATCTAATGGTTGCATATGTTAAGCTGTTGATATTAGTTGAGCAATTGTTTTTAAAGATATGATATTTTTTTTCTTCTATGATTTCAGATAGTTGACATATAAATTATAATTAATTTATCAAAACATCAGTATGTCATATTATATTTTTATAGGCCTTTTGATGGTATGATATTTTCACTCCAATTGTGTGGTGTGTTTCCTTGAGAAAAAAGGAAAAAAAAAAAAAGATATTTTCAATATTTAACTATATTTTATGTATCAACTGTTTAGGTGTCATTAATCAAAGTGTTATAACTCCTAAAAAATTTGCAAAACAGATGGCACGTAGTTATTGGCTTTGATTTATGCTAAGCCAAAATTTTGTCTTAACCATCAACTATGAAGCAATTTTTTTTTTTTTTTAAGAGCAAATATGCATGGATAGCACTTGTGTTATAATCCAATTTACAACGAGCATATTTTAAAGTCGTGGAATATATGCTACAAGCAAAAAAAATCGAAGTAGATGCCACATCAAATAGAAGTTAAGTTGGAAACGTTTCTGAAATAATGTCTGAAAATGCCTCAATTAGAAAGAGAGATACTCTTGGTGCTAGTTTTGGGGATGGAAATTATTAGGGCTTCCATTAATTACGCAGAAAATAGGATCACACTGATTCGAAAAATTTGGAACAAAATATGAAATAGAAACGCACGAGTAATCACAAAAATACATCAAGATTTAACATGAAAAACTTTGAAAACGAGAAAAAAATCATGGAGTTACGCAACAAAAAATTTCACTAAGAAATGAGAAATGTACAAAGAGTTTCATCACTAAGATCTTTTCTTTACAACATTAAAACTTACAAGAATATCGCTCCAAATTCTCTTTTGATCGCAGAAGAGAAATCACATGCCGAAATTCACTACTCTCAAGACACTGATTGCAATTCAAAGAATCATATAATTTTCTTATTTTGATTTAATCTAAATAACATCAATTCAATCTTATTATAATATAT